CCCAACATGACGACCTTAACGTCTACCCAGCCCTAACCTTAACTCTAAGTAATCAAAGAAATAAAAGACATTCTTAGTTTTTTTAATTGCAGTCACAGTTTCTTTTAAAATTGAGTTTCCTGTTGTGGGGAGCCCACAAGGTCAAAATAGTTGGGTTCCCACAATGTAATATATAGACCGACCGACAGAGACAGACAGACAGACAGACAGACAGACAGACAGACAGACAGACAGACAGTCGGTCCTGGAGATTGGAGATGTGAGTCAGCAGCGTGACCTGCAGAGTTACTGTGCCACTCTAGGTCTAAAATTTCATTATTAGATGTCAATACTGTTGTTCCCAGCATGACCACTGAACTTCAAAATATGGATCTCAGCAGGCAGTGTTTCATGGGGGGAGAAAGGGCATGGAGGTAGCAGATAATCAATGCAAAATTGTACAAACACAATCTGGACCATGGATACAGTTTTATTAATTTTTTTTACCTAACAAATACCAAGACAAAATAAAAGAAATCAGCAATATGTGCAGACAGTAATGGCTTATCGTAAAATCCCCTCAGACGCTGGGTGATTTTCATAAAGGGACGCCAAGCACATGGCAGTGGGTATAGCAGTGCAATCTCAGGCCACTTCCTGAAACTGAAAACCCCACAGCCCAGTGTCACACCCAGGTCCTGAGCCGCCTCTGCCCCCCCGAGCTCTTTCATCAGAAAATACCTCAGAGAAGCACAGCAAATAGGACTCTCTGTCTTTTGTGAAATTAACATTTAAAAGGAAGAGCAGACCCCCAGGAGCAGGCCGGCCCTCCAGAGTCTGCAGCCCATGAGGGCCGGATTACTTTACGGTCGCTCGGCTTGGATCAGCACGCTTGCGGGCTCCAGATACGTAAAAGCGCTGTTTTTCCTGTGTGTGTGTGTGTGGGGGGGGGGTTACGTAAAGGCACTTTGACCAGGAGGTGCGACACAGGGACGAAGGGATATTAGGGTTCTTCTGCTATACTCCATAGCTCTGCCAAGACCAGAAAGCCAGATACGTTATGTCAAAAACATAACAGGAAGCTCAACACTGTAATACACGGTATTACCAAGAAGGCCGTAGTACAGTCTGCAGATTCAAAACAAATGCAACGAAGAAATTACCTAATAAAAAAACATTCTGACCTATAATTCCATTTTCAGTTGAACATTATTTTTGTTTTTATTTACAAATGATCATTTGTTCCAAAAAAGAAGGATAAATATGCTTACTTCTCTTTTCTAAGATGATATACCTTAAGAAAACCCACTTTACAAAATACTTATTTACATGCCCCTCCTAAAAGAACCCAACTGTCCAAAGTGCCACATTAATGTCACTGTGATGTCACAAACATAGTGCCACATTAATGTCACTGTGATGCCACAAACCTTGCAACGTCGCTAGGGATTTAGTGACGGCAACATCGGGAATCTGACCTCAGTAGAGGGAATAATGAAGGTGCTGTGATGTTATTGCTGGTAACGTCTTCGTATCCATCCCACTGAATGGATATTGTAGATCAGGGCTATTCAACTCACGGTCCTCAAGGGCCGAGCACTGCTGATTTTCCAGCCTTCCTTCACCTGTGAGCCAGGTGTGAAGCCTCTGACCAATCAGAATCAGCAATTATTAAACTAACTACCTGGGAGAACTGAAAACACGGCCTGGATTTGGAATCAAGGGCCTGAGTTGAATAGCCCTGTTGAAGATCCTTGGATGTCAAACCTTCATGGTTTTACTTTGTCCGTCTTTCTCATCTGTCACCAGCACCAAGCAGTCCAGGAATTAAAACGGTGCATGAATTGTCAAAAAGCATCACTGCATCAGCTGTGTACGAGTAACCGAAATGAGAATCAGTCGAAGCTTGAATATTTAAACAGGACTTTCTAATATGAATTTCTAATTTGATGTAATTTCAGTTGCAGAGCGTAAGTTAGCCTTGAGTAGCCATGTCAGGGTGAGTTTTGTCATGGAATTGTACCCAAATGCTGGGTACGACCCTTCTGTCTGAACGGTAATCTATGTAGACAGCTAAGGATTATTCAGGCAGACTTCCACATTTATATATAAACAAAACAGTCCAGTGTTTTTTTTGGATTTTAAACTTTAAACTTTGAGAAGGGAATCATCGTGCATTCCTGCTGCAGTTCATAAATCTGAGTCAGATGTCCCTGTACCTGCACCCACAGATCTTAGTATGCAGACATCCAGTTCCAGGCTGGGATGAAGAGGCCGTTCAGACCCTTTTCCACCGAGGGCCATTCATGAGTTCTGTTCCAGGTACTCATCAATCATGGTTAGACTGTTCAACCAGTCCTCATTGGAACCCACCAAAGTATCTATGAAGTCCACCTCTGCACCGCCACCTGCTGGTGCCTCAGGGATAAGTCCATTGTTCTGCTGATGGCTGTATTCATAGGGTGTCAGTTTGTGTTCGGGGTTCCCGCCACTGTAGGCTGCCTCCGGGGTATGTTTGCTAGAGGGGGAGGGGTAGCTGGGGGCTATACTCTGGGCTGCGTGCACCATGCCAGGTGTCACTGGTGTCATCCCAGCCGTAGCCAACAGGGGGCCTCGGGGCCGTAGTCCTGGGGGACCCACTGAGGAGATGGGATGTCCTGTTTGTATCTTCTGCATCTGTCTGCTGGGAAAGCCAGGAGCAACCTGGTTGGGAGGTGGGCCTGTCTGCGGGGGGGCAAAGTTTCCCGGCATCCCTGTACGCACAGGCGACTGGGCAAACTGGGCGAGGCGCCCCCCCCCGCCTGTGAACGCCTGCTGCTGGAGTCCCGGGTCCATGTGGGTGTCACACGTGAGCCGCGGAGGCCCCTGCTGCTGCCACACTGGCATCTGAGGCGGGGGCGGTTGTTGAGGGCTGAAGACCATGCGTGGTGTAGCGCCGCCCTGCTGGAGAGCGTGCCGGAGGTGCTGGGGCTGTGGTGGCTGCAGAGATGCACTGGGAAAGCCTGGGACCGGCAACCCAGCCCTGGCTGCTGCCTGATGGACTGGCGGCCGTGCCTGCAGGCCAGCGCCCGTGAAGCCCTGCCCAGGCCGCAGCAGAACGCCGAACTCAGAGACCTGCGCAGGGTGGCACAGAGGTTGTTTGGGGCCTGAGTTGCCCATGAAGGGCCCTCCAGGGCGACCTACATGCCCATGTGACCCTTGGGGAATGCCTAGCCTGCCGGGCACCACAGGGCCATGAGGCATCATGGGTGGGTCAGCAGAGGGCGTCCCCACAGGGTAGTTGCACTCAGGGGGCAGCAGCCTGCCTGCACCTGATGGAGGGAGAAGGACGAGGACAGTGTGAGCAGGACAATGACCCGTCCGGGTAACCCCCTGCAGTACAGCCAAGGAGACATGAGGGGACACCGTTCTGTCATGTATGTCCATCTATTATCCACAGTTCTATCACTTATTTCTATGAGTTAACATGTATTTGTCCTCCAGTATTGAGCAGAGCTGTGGCACTCTTACCTTGAAACGGCACCACCTGGTGGCATTCTGGCACCTGGTTTCCATTCATCTGCTCCATGTGCCTTTGCTTCTCCTGCAAGACAATCATTTCCGTGTCACCCCAGCCGGACTTGCTCACTAGGTCAACCACTCAAAAAACCCCACTAGTTATTACTGGTCACTGCCGAGAACCCACTTGTAGGAGGTGCTTCCGAATGATCTGGTTCTTCAGCATGGGGTTAAAACTTCCTGGGGCAGAGCGGGACACTGACACAGCATCCTGAGGCCGGGACACCATGGCTGAGCTCGGATCCTTACAGAGGAAAAGAGAGAATGGTCTGTTTAGACATATGTGCTTAGCCAGAGGTTGTGTAATTATTTCCCAAGACATGACAGCATCAAAAACATCTAAAATATTCCAACCAGTGAGGATTAGGCATCATAAGAATCTAGCAAAGCTTTGCAGCAGCTGTAGTCGGTAAACATTAGGTGATATTAGTGGGTGACGTGCAGTACAGAACACATTCCTGCCTGTCAGCGTAATTCCAGAGCAGAAGGTGGGAAATTGCTCGTCTCTATTGTGAGAAAAATGCAGAGTTTCCATCCCTGGCTGGAAATAACTCGGTGAGGGAGATGTGGGGGGAGGGGCAGGCAGTCCCACACAGCCAGGAATTCCTCACTCCCCCAGAGTTCTAACTGCTCTGTCCGATTGATGGTATCATGGTGAAGGAGCCCAGTAACGCACAGATTTCTGACATTTTCAAAGGACGGACACTGTTTGCGGTGAAAACAGTTTTTGAAACAATCAAAGAGAGCAGTGAACGCGCACTGAGAGAGGTTCAGACGTCCAGCTGTCTGCCCAGTGTTCACATGTGAGCGACAGGCTCAGCAGTGCTAGTGCTGGTTATAGTAACTGATCTTGATTTCATCTGATAGGATATTTAAAACACTACAAGGAAGGAGTGATGATAGAAGTGTCTGTGTGTGTTTGTCTATGTGCATGTACACTCACCTAAAGGATTATTAGGAACACCATACTAATACGGTGTTTGACCCCCTTTCGCCTTCAGAACTGCCTTCATTCTACGTGGCATTGATTCAACAAGGTGCTGAAAGCATTCTTTAGAAATGTTGGCCCATATTGATAGGATAGCATCTTGCAGTTGATGGAGATT